GGAGGAGGAGGAGGACGGAAGCGGTGGTCCAGAAGAATTTTCAGAGTTGGTTGGAGGCGGAGAGGACGAGGAAAAGGCGGGCGGAGGGACGGTGGTTGGTGCGGTCCGAGATTCGCAGTTGATCCCTAGGTGCACAATGATTTCAATTTCTGCCCGGAATGTCCGTTGACACCGGGGACACGTTGGAAGCGGTTGTGCGTCGGCGTTGCGGACGTGGGGTGGCTGTGATTTGCGCGCTCTCGTTTCACTATGGCAGCGGCGATTCGGTTGGCCTCATAGATCGCAGCGGCTGTCTTCAGTGTCCTCCTCCATGTCGGTCGGTAGAGGGTGAGCTCTTCCCAGTTGGTCGGGTTGATTTGCAGGCGCTTCAGGGTGGACTTCAGAGTGTCGTTGTATCGAAGAATTTGACCACCTTGGCGGCGAGAACCCATCGCAACGTCTCCGTAGAAGAGTAGTTTGGGTAGTCGCTCGTCGTCCATGCGCACCAGATGGCCGCTCTAACGCAGCCGCATTTGTCTCAGCATGGGGTAAATGCTGAGCATTTCCGATCGTTCCAGCATATCTGTGTCGGAGATTCGATCCTGCCAGTGCAGCCACAGGATGCGACGGAGACTACTGAGGTGGAAGTGGTTCAGTAGGCGTGCCTGCCTCGTGTACACCGTCCAGGTCTCCGCTCCATACAGAAGCGTCGGCAGGATGACGGCCTTGTACATCTTTAGCCTCGTACTCAGATGGAGGTCATGACGATTCCAAACTGTGCTTTTGAGGTGACCGAAGGCTTAACTGGCTTTCGAGATCCTGTTGGCGACTTCGTCATCTATCATGGTGTTGCGGGAAAGGGTGCTGTCCAAGTACGGGAAGTTCTCCACCACTTGCAATTGGGTTCCATTCACGCTGATTTGCGGCGACGCGTTGTTGGCTATGGCTGAATTGGGTGCCGGTTGATGCATCACCACCGTCTTCTGCGTGTTAATGACCAGCCCAAAGTTCTCGCAGGCGGCAGAGAACAGGTCCATGCTCCGTGGCATCTCCACTTCCGATGTGGTGTTCAGGGCGTAGTCGTCGGCGATGAGAAGTTCGTGAACGGTGGTTGTGGATACGCGCGATTGGAAGTGCATCCGCCGTTGATTCAGGAGGTGACTGTCCGTCCTGTAGGCAACGCGGATCCCGGGGTGCTCAACACGATCGGGGTTCATCAGCATGGCAGAGAACATAAGACTGAAGAGGGTAGGTGCCAGCACGCATTACTTCTTCACACCGTTGGCCACTACGAATGTCTCTGAGACAGCTCCGTTGTCCGTGACTCGCGCCATCATACCGTCCTGCAGCTGACGCACCATCTCAATGGATCGTTACGGACAGCCTTATTTCTGCATGATCTTCCACAGTCCTTCACGATTCACCGTGTCGAAGGCTTTCGTCAGGTCCACGAAGGTAGAGTACAGGTGGGTCCGCATCTCCTGGCTCTTCTCATAAAGTTGACGAGCGGCGAAGATCATGTCTGTGGTCACGCGATGACAACGGAAGCCGCATTGGCTTTCCGGTAGAAGCCCCTGTTCCAGATGATTATTCGGACGATTGAGGAGGATGGGAGCGAAGATCTTCCCGTCAATTTTCAGCATGAAGATGCGGCGTGATTGTCGCAGACTTGGCGATTCTCTTTTCGCTTGGTAAGGTGCACGATAGTTGCGTCCTTGAAATCTTGCGGGACTTCATCTTTACGCCACAGCTCCTGGAAGATCGCAGTCAGGTGGTGCATGAGTCGGGGACCTCCGTGCTTGAAGACCTCAGCAGGGATTGCGTCCGATCCGGGTGCTTTCCCGCTGGAGAGCTGCTGCAAGGCCCTGATGGTTTCCTGGAGAGATGGCGGGAGGTCGAGGACGATGTTGGTCTCCACTTGCGGCAAACGCTCGATGGCGGCGTCGGAGATGACGGAGGGGCGGTTGAGGATGCCTCGGATATGCTCGCCCATCGCCGTAGGATTGGCGTCTATTCAGTCAGGAGTGTGCTGTCGTCGGCGCTGAGGAGAGGAGCAGTGCCCATCGTCGGCGGACCGTAGACAGCTTTGATCGCAGAGAAGAAGTTCTTCAATTCGTTGCGGTCCACATAGCCTTGAATCTCATCAGATTTGCGAGCAGTCCAGGTGTCCTGCATCTCGCGCAGTCGTTGCTGAAGCTGGCGGCGTCTGCGGGAGAAAGCAACTTTGTTGTCATCAGTGGGGTGGTCTACGTAGGCTTTGTGTAGGCGGTTTTTCTCAGCAAGCAGATTTCTGATGGCGGCGTCGTTGTCGTCGAACCAGTCCTGGCGTTAACGGGGAGCGAGACCGAGGACGGCGAGCGTCGTCGCCTGGACCGTGTTTCGTAGTTGACACGAGCGGTTCTCCACGGAGGCGTTCTCTGCAATGGTGGCCTCGTCATCGGCTGCATCGGCGATGGGAATTTTGTCTAGCCGTTTAGCTTGCTCATTTCTGAAATGAAGATTGTGAGCGGGCAAAGACAACAAGGCAGTATTCAGCTTTTCTGGGGGTCGCTTTACTTGTGGTCTCCTGCGAGGCTGTAGGCTAATACACATCTTTGATATGACGAGGCGATGGTCGATCCACCCGTCAGCACCCGCGATCGCCATCGTCACCAACACTTCCCGTTGATCTCGCCTCCGGACGAGGACGTAGTCCAGCAGGTGCCACTGACGGGACCGAGGATGCCTCCAGGTGGCCTTCTCTCGCTCCGACAGACCGAAAAAGGCCTTCGTCAGGATGAGGCAGTGTTCTGCGCAGGTGCGGAGCAGCAGCAGACCATTGTCGTTGGAGCCGCGGAAACCGTGGCGACGCAGCACTCCTCTCTAGGCAGTATGTTCTGTGCCGACGTGGGTGTTGAAGTCGCCAAAGACAATCAGCTTGTCCGCCTTCGAAACAGTCGCCAAGAGGGCGTGCAGGTCCTCGTAGAATTTGTCTCTTGCGGCGGCGTCGGGGCTGCTCATTGGCGGAGCGTAGGCGGAGCGTTGGCGCTGATGATGGTGGCGAATTTGCCCACACCCCGCAGAGGCAGACGGAGGCTCATCAGGCGATCGTTGATTCCCTGCGGCAGACTGGGCAGTCGTCCCACGATGTCGTTCCGGATGGCGAGGACGACACCCGCGTCTCGTCGCTCTGCCCTGGGTCGGCCACTCCAGAAGAAGGTGTAGCCGGCCCTCACAACCTCAAGTTGGCCTTGTTCGGAGAATCGGGTCTCGCTGAGTGCGGCGATGTCCACCTTGTAGCGCGCCAGTTCTCGTGCCACTAGCGCCGTCCTCCGTACCGGTCGGTTGCTCCTTGGATTGTCTAAAAGGGAATGAACATTACAGGCTGCCAGAGTGAGCGGACTCACCCTGCCAGTCTGTCGACGATTTCGTCGGAGGCAGGAGCCTTTATGCTTCTCAAGTTTAAACCAGAGGCCTGTACTTCATAGAATTTTGTGCAGTTTGTGCAGTGCGTTTTGCGCGGTGTTTGCCTAACTCTGATCGACAGAACGCTCTACAGCAGACTTAATGTAACAAACAGCAGTTGAATGACAGTGATTCCACGCAACCATCTGGATCACCTCCGGCTAAATTTAGCTAAGGTGGAGGGCTAGCTTAATTCAGGGCGGCAGTCGCTGTGAGACTGAAGAGTAGATCGAGTAGAGAGTGCGTCTTCCTCTTTTTTTACGGGAATCGATGTCTCACCCTGATAGCACGCAACACGAGCGCGCCTGCTATCTGCACATACGAAACCCCACCCAGCCAGCTCCCTCCCTCCCTCCGCATCGGATCAGCAGATTTACGTACAAATCGTTGCACCCAGAGTGGCGTGATCTGCTCGCGTCTGTCACTTGGTTTGCGAATAATGAGGACAGGAGCCCTAATGCAATGAGTGCAACATTCGTAAGAGGAAATTCATATCTACAGGTTTGCAACCAGCTCGCGGAGAATTTATCTGACATATCAGTGATCTGCCACAACTGAAGGTGCAACCACTGCATATTCTCAAATTGCCTATCCGTCAGAACCGAGAGCCCCTTCAGTTTACAGAATATATTTACTAAAGTCTCACGCATCCACGTTGATTGAATTGTCAAACCTCGGTGCCACGGTGTGACTAAAACCCACGACAGCAAGCGTTTTACTATGTCAAGTAATGCATATCTCCTTATTTTGACTGGCAAGGCTAGCCTATTGCAGCTTGGCCGACTATTTTCGATATTGTCGTATTAAACTCAAGTACACAGACGAATCATTTTTATACGCACATGAAATACTCGGCGCCTCTGTGGTGTATGAACCCGCTTCAGCTTTATGTAGCCTTAGTACAGCAAACGCTCTAGCCAACTGACCAAAAAGGCTCCACCGGACGACGCTATACATTAATCGTATCTGCTATAATAGATATGAATTTCGTGAAACCCTTAGCTATCTGATGGATTCTATATGTATAAATTAGAAAATCCTGCTTAGAATGTCAGCTTACTTTATCAGATTTGGTGGATACCAGACTTTGCAGTAGATCACACGAGTAAAATTGATTAAGATATGATTAAACTCGCGTCGTCCGGTGGGGCCTCGTATCTTAGGTGGCTAGAGCGTTGGCCGTGCTAAAGCCTCTCTTCGCTGTTGTGGGTTCGAATACCACCAGTTAGGCTTAGTAGCAACTTCGGAGGATGAAACCAATTATTTTTCAGAAGTAAAGCATTCTTAACAGTGTCATTTTGATGTGAGGAGAATCACTCGATCGCTGGAGCGAGAATAATGTTCACATGAGTTTCCCGATACCTTTTTGATCAAGGACAGCAACATATTGAATTTGTGGACGTACAGCGGTTGAAATATTTATAAGCTGCAATTCCTATACTATCATGCGCATGTTTATAATGATAACGCCCGCATTCCTTGCAGCTTTTCGTGATTCGTTTGATGATTTCACTAGTAGATATGTTTAAATTGTTACGATCTAGCTGTTTTTTAAACGCTAACCTCGTCCTTTGGTCTAAAAATAGACTTTGGCGATTCTATGACTTTGGAAACGGGAATTTTTGTTAGAAATGCGGTTTTCCCGGCAGGCTGAAGTCGACATAATGTTGAAATTTGCTGATTGCCCCTTTGCAATTAATGCCAGACAGGCGCTCAGACTGTGTCTATATTAAAACAGTGTAGGATGTTAATAAAAACAGTTTGTTTACTTAATGTACATTCCGGTACGACGAATTTTAACGTAGGTAAATCCACTCCTTACGGAACGCGTCGAATTAATTCTAAAATCCCACTTGGTTTACTGTCCTGGATTATGCATATCTAATTTATACGAATACATCAACACGGACAGTTGAAAAAATGAAACCATTACGTAGCTTAGAGATTCGCATTGCATGTGATCTTTCAGTGAATCGAATCCGCACTAATTTAACTTGGGACTGGCTGTTTCGATGTTAATCACAATCCCACGGCATTTGTTTCACTTTTAATGTAAAAAGTCTGCTGACTGCAAAATACAGATATTCACAATGACTGATTAATTATGCCTTCTTTGCCGTAGGGAATCAAGTAAGTATGAAGAACACTGCGGTTTCTCTTAGGAGCAACTTCGGAGACCGAACCCATTTCACTTTCAGAACGTGAGCTTCCTTAACAGTGTTATTTTGCTGTGAGGAAAATCACTCGATCACTAAAACGAAAGCAATGTTCACTTGAAGTTTCAAGTCCCTTTTCGAACAAAGACAGCAACAAATTGAAGTTGTGAAGTAAGAGAGGGTGAAATATGCATAGGCTGAAATTCCCCTGATATCACACGCATATTCTTATTACTAACCTCTGCACTCCTGCAAATATTCGCACTTCGTCTCATGACCTGTCTAGTAGATATGTCCAAATTGTGACTGACGGCGATCTAACCGTGTTTTCAGTAAAAACACAGCCTTTTGTTTTCATTAGCCGTCTCTGGCATTTCTGACATCGGCAACTGACATTTTTAATGGAAATGTGGATATCTAGCAAGGAAAAAGTCTACGTATGTCTGAAAGTCGGACACAATGTTGGCATTCTCTGAATGCACGTTTCCAATTAACGCCAAACAAACCTCGACCTAGCCCGCATGTTTTTCAGCGCATCTGCCGCTTGAGCGGATTAAGGGACACTGTCATTGTTCAGGCACGTACGCACTCAACGACTGCGCACGCCACCGACTACCTGCTGCCAAGGTCATCTAGGGGCGCTTCTTCTCGCATTCAGCTTTCGGCCATCGGGCGAAATCTGCCAGCTGCGTCATCCACCGAGCACGATCGATTTTTCCTCGCCAGGCGTGCAGGCCACCTCACGGTCCAGGGGCCAGCAACTCGAGGTGCACACCTGATAACTGACTGTCCACCTGGTACGCAACATGAAGCAGGGCCTTCCCACGTAGTTAGTGCCGATTCAGTTAATCGTATCTCTGGTTACATCCAAATCACTAACCTGGG